CATGGTTAAATTGTCCACCGACTTACATTCCTTGACTCGTTCCACACCCTTATGCATTGTTTACGGCATCTCCCACTCTGTCTTTGCCAAGTTCTTCTCGGCTGATTCTTCTATTTCAGCGTCTTTCAAAAGGGATCATATTAATGAAGATAGTGTCCCCCACTTATATGTTCTTGATCTTCTCCTTAATTAGCTAACGTGAAACTCCAACAATTCTCAATAGTATTTAGGTTTTTCCTCTGAAGCTAAATCCAAATCTTGAGGTAGAGAAGAAAGGCTCGGATAAGGATCTTTAGTTCAGCTGGATGAAGTTTTATATGTTATTCTATAGCATGGCTTTACTTTGTTATTATTGTGCTATTCATATGTAATTTTTTCAAATTAATTTCTGTATTTATTTATACAAGGTCAAATATTTTATCGACAGTTTTAAAGGGTAGTGTTTTACCCATGTTTTCATAAACATTTTCAAAGACGGTAACATTCTCGTTCATCAATATTGCAGTAAATAAATAAGTTAAGTCTGTGGTTAGTATATCTACTCATATATTTTGTATAAAAACAATAAATTTTAACGTAAGACAAAATACAAGGAAGAATATGAAGTTGAATCCATTGTACTGAAGACTAATTATCTGGATCTAAAAAATGGACTTGTTTACTGCAAGATAAGACGGCCATCAGCTGGTTTACGTGTAAGAAAGAAATGCTCAAAAACAAAGAAAAAATAAGTTTACTTGTAAGATAAGATATGTGGCATTCATATAAATGACATGGCTTTTGCATCTCCATCCTCATCTCACATATATTAAAATCGGACTGCAAAACATTCATGAAATTGCATGGGAGTAATTTTAAATAAATCAAATTTTATGGATTGGGTTGGTGGATAAATTTCTCTTCATACTAAACAAACTTAAATTTATTATTTTTAAAACCTACCGTTTTACTTAATAATACAATTATATACACCTATTTATTTTATTTTTATTTAATATCATACTTATTTATTTATTCTTTAACAACTTTTTGGAGAGTAATTTTTCAAAATATTTATTGAAACTAAATTACAACTTTCAATTAACTATTTGTACACTAACGTTGAATTTGACAAATCAGAAAAGTTAAAAGTGTGTGAAGTAAAAATGACATTATTTCAAACCATATTTGAATTTGAATGTCAGGCGAGAAAAGTAGGAGTAAAGAAAGGGAATAAATGGAGGAAAAGGTTGAAGTTTGTTGCACCTATTTTAGACTTCATAGCCTTCCATGTTTGAATGGTCAAAGTAGCAATTCTGGTGTTGTGAAAGTGGGAAATATGAAGACTGAATGCAATATCATATTGTATTTATAGTTGTGGCGGTGTTCCAAAGCATTCAATGGAAAAGGAATTATATATATAAGTAGAAGAATTAGAATGTAATGAATTAAGAAAAAAGGAGAGCCGGACTCGTAAGCATTTAGCAATCAGCAGTTTAGGCTGCCGGGCCAGGCCATCCGGACATTGCTTAATTTCTCAACCAAACCCGTACACTTCATTTTACGCGCTTCAGTTCGCCTCATCCCTTCTCCCCCAAATTAAAACTTGGCTTCAAACACACACACACACGCACAAAAGCATCAATTGATCCGTTTACGGCCCCATCTCTCTCTCTCTATATATATATGCACATATCATGTGACATCTAGGCCTACGATTCTCTCTGTTATTGCTAGCAACCATGGCCTTCAACTTCATGGATTCAGATAACATTTACAATCATCATAGTCATGTGGATCATCGAAGTGAATCCTTGCGATATTATTATTCAGATCAGGGCTACTCGTCGACCCTGATGGAGAAGAGGCAACTATTTCTGAGGAGCTATCAGTTCTGCACAAAAAAGAGTGTACCCCAGAAGATAAACGCCTCCCTTCTCAAAATCAAGAGAGTTATATGGGTGAGGCTCAAGAACTTGTTGCTTCATTCCTGCAGGCTCCGACATGCTTCTCGTTCACGTAGAAGAAGATCTGTTCGTCTCCACCACCCCATTCACTCGCTGTCTTGTTTCTCATGATCTATCTCCTCCTTCCTTCTCTTTACTTTCTAATTATCTTTCCTCATTCGGATTCTTTACAATTATTAAATTATACCTCATTTGTTGCTCTCTGTTTCTTTCTATACCTCTTTTCTTCTCTAATATCTGCCCCTAAAGCTTCTTTCTAATTTCCTCAACCTTCATATTTTGTAATTTCTTTCAGTGTCCCATCAATCTTTAGAATACAAGGAATATCTTCATGTAACGAGAAATTTGATATTTTTTCTATCTAAAGACATGAAACACAAAATTAATAAAACAGTAAATTAGCAAAAGAAAAATACAACATTAGTTAATGTCTTTCTCTTCCATCTGCGAGAGTGGAATGAAAACGGCCCTGACGGATTCAGGCAAGGGGCTTATGAATTATTAGTTGAATTTTTTTATTAGACAATTTGATGCATCTAAGTTCAGTGGAGTAGCGTAGCATAATTTTAGAGTGGGGTACATAATTTTAGCAGGTTAGAGCGAGTGGGGGTTGGCCACTTCGACCATTTTTGGAGTATAAGTTTTGTTTTAAATACTACAATCACTAAGAAAATCAACCCAATGTTTTAGTAACAACAAAATTCAAGCTTTTATTAGACACTTGGGATTTCTTCCAGCTCTCAAGGTGAGCTGCTCATAGCAAGTGGGGTAAGAGTCATGCCCTTAACTTAGTCATGTCAATAGAATCCCAAGTGTCGAACAAAGAAATTGCTAGCCTCAAAGGTGTAATAAAAAACTACTCGATGTGACTGAACAAAGAGTGTACTTTATTCGAGGGCTCCAGAAATAGGAGTAGAGTCTCGATCAAGGGGAGGTTGTTTTAGGGCTACATAGATCTCAGGGGAGGTTCTATGATATATTTTGTTCGATGAGAGGATTGTTGAGGATTGTTGGGAGGGAGTGCCACATTGGCCGATTTAGTGGAAGATCATGGGTTCATAAGTGAGGAATACTATCTCCATTGGTATAAGACATTTCGGCGACACAAAGCCATGAGGGCTTATGCTCAAAGTGGACAATATCGTACCATTGTAGAGATCCGTGATTCCTAAAATGGTATCAGAGCTAGACACCAGACTATGTGTCAGCGAGGAGGCTATTCCCCAAGGGGGGTAGACATGAGACGGTGTGCGAGTAACGACACTGGCCCCAAAGATAGGGGGTGGATTCGGCAGGGGTCCTACATACATTGGAGAAAGGAAAGAGTGCCAACAAGGACGTTGGCCCGTCTCCTGGGTCCCACATAGATTGGAGAAAGGAAAGAGTGCTAGCGAAGACGTTGGCCCCAAATGGGGTAGATTGTGAGAGTCCCACATTGGTTGGGGAGGAGAAGAAAACACCCTTTATAAGGGTGTGGAAACCTCCATGCTGCAGCCGAGCGCCGGCGTCTCCATCACCGCCGCAAAGACGGACGCCGAGTCGTCGTCGAGCGTGTGATCAAGGAGACGACCGCCTCTGTGCAGTACCTGATGCTGACAAGGTCCAACTACAACGAGTGAGGTTTGTTGATGCGTGCCAACCTGCAAGCGCAAGGACTGTGGCACACCATCAAGTCGACGGATATTGCTTGACATGGAACGACATGACCGAGGTGGACCAGAACCCAGATCAATTCACGATGGAGTACCTCGTCACCGAGCTGGGAGAAGAAGGAGCGCAGCACCAAGCACTATCACCACCGTTAGCAACTGCACCGGACACGCCTACGCCAACACCGACCGCAACTCCTGCTACGCCCCCTGAACCAATGAAATTCGCAACACTACGTAATGCGGGCTAGTTTTTAATTTGTTAAGTTTAGTGAGTTAGGTTTTGAAATTCAGTCGGGAAGGAAAAGGCGAAAGCATTGAAAAATGAAAGGCCAAGCATATATTTAGTGTTTAGAAAGTTTATAAATACGTTTGTTTTTCATTGTAAAAGAGTAAAGAGAGCTAGATAAAAAGAAAAAATATAGAGTTAAAAAAGTTCAGTAGAAAAAGTTTCTTTTTACTGTTATTTGTTTCCTTGTCTCTCTCCTCGACACTTTCTTCACAAGTAGGGAGTAGTATTTTTGCAAAGTAGTATCGGAGAGATCGATTGTTAGTGAGTGTGAGATTACTTCACAAATTCGTGAGGGTTACCTTTTAACAAATTGGTATCAAAGTTAATTTTTATTTTAACAAATATTACATGATTCCACTGGCGACTAACGAAAACATACATGTTCTATGAGGGTAAGCATCTTAACATGAGTATGCTCGGAGTCGTTGGCGCCACATGCTTTGCTCGTCATATCTATTAAGTCGGCTCTCCAAATCTCGTTGGAAAAAACTCGAACCGTTGGTATTTCTCCCTCGTTCTCTCTCTCTGTATCTTGTTTTTTTTTCCCTTGCAGGTGATGCTCTGGAGTGTGGCTGAGGGTTGTGGCGTCGTTTGGCCGTAACATGGGTGTCGGGGAAGTGTGAAACGCATTCTCAGCGAGTTGCCCGAGAATTCTAGCACCTCACCAGAATTCTCGAGGTTTTTGGCAACTCATAAATTTTTTTTTTTGTCAGTCGTAATTTTGACATTGAAATTGGGAGGTCACACACAAATTCGTTACTTAAGAACTATTCAATTAGCTTGAGGAAAAGAAAGGAAGATTAAATTGACTTCTCAAAGGTATTTTTCGATTAATATTAATATTTTCATCTACCGTTCACAAAAACCATGAAATCAATCTCTAAATCTAGACGGCCATATCTTATCTCTTAAAGAAATGAAGATGCTGGAAGTAAAATAAAAACTACTATAGAATAAGTTCCAAAATAACCCCACACTAACAAGAAGTAAAAAAAGAAAAAGAAAGTACAATATTAATTTTAAGAAATCCCAATAAACCCAAACAGGTATTTTCATTAAAAAAAAAAAAAAAACCCAATCCACACTTTGTAATAGAAATAATTAAATAAATGTAGGAAAGAAAAAACCTAAATCTTTTTTTGTCCTCCCGGCTCCGCTTCCTTCTGCTCCTTGAAGCGTCTCCTTCTCCGTCTCGGCAGTTCAGTGTCGCCGCCGCCTCCTCCGGTTCAGTAGTGCTGCCGTCTTTCTTTCGCTCGTGCCACCGCAGCCTTCCTCCAGCGGGTTTGTACAGATTTTCTACTCTGTTGCTACTGGTATTCTCCCCACCTCCGTCTATGCTTTTATTCTCGCTTGAAAAATACAAATTAGAACTTGACCAACATCCTTGTGGCTAATTGGGACTTACCCTATACGTGGCTTTTTGCAATTTCTCGAATTGATTATTAAGCTCAAATCTTCCTAGTTAAATAATTCCGGTCGCCTTTGGCCCATAGATATTGGCGGCTACCTGGTTGTTCACTTCCTGTGTTCTTCCGTCCCTGCCAGCAGCTTTCTTTCCTTCTTTTTTCTTTATTTTTTTCTCATTCACGTAGACGATTTGGCTTCTTTTACCTAAACGCCTTATACTTGCTCTCATTTCAGTCTGGTTTTGATTGGTTCTGGTGTTGAGAATCATGGATATTAAGCTTTTGTCATTTCCGGCTGATAGCCCTCCACTCTCCGTCATTGTGGCTGCCAAGTTTTCTGGTATCACTTTTCCTGCAGATTCTTCTCTTGCTTCTGGCTCCGCTCCCACATTTCTCTTCACGAACGGGTACAATCGGATCCCTCTCTTTCTTCTCTCAGCTAGTTTTATCTTGTTTAACTTCTAATATAGCATAATGTTTGAGATTCAACCTTCAAAAGCTATTGATTTTGATTAATAACACATCTTTTTGTAGAATTATTTTCCATTCCCCAATGTCTCTCTTTCTGATTTTTTGTCTATTTCATGAGTTGTTGGTGTGAACTCAAATATTTAGAATTAAAATGGATGTATTATCGTTGATGTTTGAAATTTATAAAAGGATGTATTATCCAAAATGTTTACAAAAAAACCTTCCCAATTTACAATGAGAGAGGAATTACAATTGAAAGCAAAGGAATTAGAAAATTTACACTAGTAGCTTCTTATGATCAGTGATCCTAATACCTTATTATGCCCCTTCGTTTGACCATGGAATATTTCTAACAAGTATTTCTTTAACTCTAAATTGGAACCTAGCATTATTAATGTAAAATTTAGTTGATTTAGACATAAGGTTATTGGGACTAGCTTCTTGGCCATCAGGAGAAACCGGACAATCTGATGATATACACTTGTGATGTCAAAGAAGAGTCCAGAAGTGTAATGACCCATTTTTCGAGGCTCTTGAGCCACAAACCGTTACTCATTGACGCAGAATAAGTAAAAATGTGTAAAATTTAAAACACTTAACACGTGCATGCACTTTGAAATGTAATTAAAATAGTAGTGAAAATTTTGCTTTTACAAAAGACGAAAAGGAGACCACCAAAATACACTACTACAAGATCAAACTATTTAAAATACATGAAATACAAGATTTGAAAGATAAGTACAAAAGGAAATCTAGACTCAAGTATGATGGGACTTGAACCAAGGCATCTCAACAATACAATATCAACTTGAATGAAGTTGTGAAGAATATTGTTCAAATTACCACAAGATAAAGTCAAGTTTTATTAAAGTTGAACTCAAGTTGCAATCAATTTCACGTTAAGAAAAATCAAGTCTCATTTATGCAACAAAGGCTTCAAGATACTTCAAATGCGGTTTCATTTATTCTTAGATGCTTACAAATTTATGATGGAGGATTAAAATCTAAATTTATGGTATTTCATTAATGTCTTTTAAGTTTTAAAACTTTTTATTTGTTTTTAGATTACATTTACATAGTGGCTAATTATGGTCATAAAGTATGAAGGTTAAAAACTCTTGAAATGCCTCATGGAAGGTCAAGGGTTCCATTTTGAGGCTATATAAAACCATGTATGTTATCTTTGTAAACATAGACTTGAAAAATGTAGTAAAAAGAGCATTTGTGCTTTCGTTTAGCCAATGACTAAGTTTCTTTGCAATTTTATGTCGTTTAGATTGCATTCGAGATGGACATGATCGATTTTCCTTGTGGAGTGATTCGAATCTCAAACAAGTGTTCTTGTTTTGAGTATTAGATCAACAAGGTAATCTAAATCTTACTTCCCTTGTAGTGATTCCTTATCACTCCCTATAGTCAACGACCCATGTGTGCATCCGCCTCGACCACTACAACAAGCTCCACCTAAAAAGAAAGTTGAAGTAGCAAGGTTGAGTATATATATATACTTAGTAAGCAGCTTCTTGGTAGTTCATAGTTCGTTATCAGGTTTTATTAATCTTAGTTAATTTGTTCGGTGTCTTATTCTCATTTGAGGGTTCGTTCTCTAGTATAGGCAACTTCCTAGACTTCACTCTAGGTTTATTCATTCTATTTTCTTGGTTCTTGGTCCTATCTGGCCCTCCCGCTCTTGGAATATTCTTAAGTTCTCTAGGTCTCCTGGCTAGTCGTTTCTGCTAGTCTCTTTCATCACCATATCTCTAAGTCCTCGAGGCGCAACCTCGGTATCAATCTCATAGGGTTCATGCATGCTAAGGCTCGACTAAGGCGCAACTGTGGTTAAGATGATGTTCTACAAAATCACAGAAGACAAGATGCAAAAGACTTGTAGAAATATGATTTTTTTTTTTTTTTTTTTTTTTGTACTTTTTGACCAGTTTCAAAATTGAACCGATTCAAACGACAGGAAGAAAATAGAAATCAAATCCAAGAGAAATGTAGAGGAAACATATATTCAATCTTGAGCCTAAAGTTCTATACCAAATGATATGAAAGCCCTAGCTAATTGGATCTAAGAACCTTTATTGATATGCAAACCCCTAAATCGCTAATGCTAAAACCTCTAAATCAAGATGATTTCAACAATGTTGTTTACTAAGCTATATCTTGGTGTAAACTTGTTTGAGATTCGAATCACTCCACAAAAAGTTTGATCAAGTTAAGCTTGAATGCTTATAAGCATACAACCTAAACTACATAAAATTGCAAAAAACCTTGGTTTAGGCTCATAAAAGCACAAATTTTATTTTTACTACATTTTCCAAGCATATTTTACAAAAACAACATGCATATAAAGTCTCACTGAAACCCTTGACCTTTTATGAGGCATTTCAAGAGTTGTAACCTTCATACTTTATGACCATAATTAGCCATTATGTTAATATAACTTAAAAGGTAAATAAAATGTATTAAAATTAAAAATACACGGATGAAACTTGGCTTCACTTTTATGAGGCATTTCAAGAGTGGTAACTTCATACTCTATGACCATAATTAGCCATTATGTTAATGTAACTTAAAAGGTAAATAAAATGTATTAAAACTAAAAATACACTGATGAAACTCGACTTCACTTCATGTGACTTGAGTTTATCGGGTGGTAATTTGAACTTATATTTTTTCACACCTTCCGAGAAGTTCATATTGTATGTTTGAAATTCATATTGCATGTTTGAAATGCTTGGTTCATATAACATTGTATACTTATTTATTTATTTATTTTATTTTTATGGTTTATGAGTTGGAATTTGATTTTTGCTGAGGCACAACATTAGTGATTATTTTATATATTGTTGCTTGCACAACCTTTGATCCAATTGTAAATCATTTCCACTAATTTATTTTATTTTATTTTTATTTTATTTTTATTTATGAAAGCTTGCACTACACTCCTACTGTAAACTTCAAAGGAATTTCTTTCCATTCAATGTGGATCAGAGGAAAGAATCTGTAATGGACTGTTTCTCAATGCTTAAGTCAAGTAAATTTGTTGTAGGTTGAAGTTGCATGGAACGTCTGTGCTTCTACGTTATATTGGTCGAGTCACCAACATTCCTAATTTCTATGGAGAGAATGCATATGAGTCCAGTCAGGTAAGCTGAAAAATAAATGTAATAACATAATCCAAATGTTTATTCGGATGTATGGATTGCTATTTATTTATTTTCATGATTGTTAGTTAATAGGCTAATTTCTGCTAAATGAACTTCTCTCATATCAATGCATGGATTTTAACCCAGATTGATGAATGGCTAGAGTATGCTCCTATCCTTTCGACTGGTTCTGCATTTGAGAATGCATGCAGTTATGTTGATAAGTACTTGGAAAGACGCACATTTCTCGTTAGCCATTCTTTGTCACTTGCAGATGTAGCTATATGGTCTGGTTTAGCAGGTATTTTTTTTCTAATAAAGAAAATAAAATCTTCTGCTTTGAGCATCCTCTTTAGTAGGTACCATTGGTCCATTGTTCCTCAGAAACTTTTTCTGCATCACCATGCCTATCTTGAGAGAGGCTGAGAAAGATGGGTTGTCATGTTGTGTTTGTTTTTATTTTTAAAGTTATTTACAGTGTTCCTTGTTTATTAACCCCATGCCCACTTATCCACAGAGCACTTGTAGACAGACATAGTCACACACAAACACTCTGTATACATAGAGTGAGAGAGAGTTGGATTATTGATACTATGATATTGTGTTCTTTACAGGAACTGGGCCACGGTGGGAAAGCTTGAGAAAGTCAAAGAAGTACCTGAATCTTCAACGATGGTTTAACTCACTCTTAGTAGAATATAGTGATGGCTTGGACGATGTCTTAACTACATATGTTGGCAAAAGAGGCGGAAAATCTTCAGGAGCTAAATTGAAGGATCAACAGGGTCTCACTCAAAAGCCAAATAGTGTCAATCAGGACACATCTGATAAGGGGAAATCGGGAAGCAAATCTACATTTGAAGTTGATCTTCCAAATGCAGAGATTGGGAAAGTGCGGTTGCGTTTTGCACCTGAGCCTAGTGGGTATCTTCACATTGGGCACTCAAAAGCAGCATTGTTAAATCAGTATTTTGCCCAGCGGTACAATGGTGAAGTAATTATCAGGTTTGATGATACAAATCCTGCTAAAGAAAGCAATGAGTTTGTTGAAAATCTTTTAAAAGACATTGAGACATTGGGTATAAAGTATGAAACTGTCACATATACTTCAGATTACTTCCCTCAATTAATGGAAATGGCTGAAAACTTAATTCGTCAGGGTAAAGCATATATTGATGATACTCCACGTGAGCAGATGCAGAAAGAACGAATGGAAGGAATTGAATCAAAAAATAGAAGTAATAGCCCTGAAGAGAATCTGAGATTATGGAAGGAGATGATATTAGGAACTGAGAAGGGTTTACTTTGCTGTCTTCGTGGAAAACTTGATATGCAGGACCCTAATAAATCTCTCCGAGACCCAGTGTATTACCGTTGTAATCCAATTCCTCACCATCGGATTGGTTCCAAGTATAAGATATACCCAACGTATGATTTTGCTTGTCCGTTTGTTGATTCTATTGAAGGAATTACACATGCTCTTCGGTCTAGCGAATACCATGACCGCAATGCACAGTACTACCGAATCCAGGAAGATATGGGTCTAAGAAAGGTTCATATATATGAATTTAGCCGGTTGAATATGGTGTATACACTTCTCAGCAAGCGTAAGCTTTTGTGGTTTGTTCAAAATGGGAAGGTTGATGGGTGGGACGATCCTCGTTTTCCAACTGTTCAGGGGATTGTTCGAAGAGGTTTAAAAGTTGAAGCTTTGATCCAATTTATCCTTGAACAGGTGCGACTATTTTAGTGTTTATTCATGAGTCGGTGATAAATCTTGCTCTAATAGCACAAAAGCTGGTATGCACTTTTGATCGTTGTCCTCCCAAAGGATTTTTATTTGTCATAGCATCTGGGAATGCTGTAAAATTTATAATTAAACATTTGATTTTCAGTTAGAAAGATCAAAGTATTTTATAATGATCCTTGTCTACCGTATCTGTCATTTCTATATTTCAAATGATAGATATTATGTTCTTTTCATTTTTTTAGTCAGGACACTATGACTCTATGCGTGCATCTTTATGAAAGTTTCTCTCATCGTTTTCTTTTCTTTATTTCAGGGGGCATCAAAAAACCTCAACCTTATGGAATGGGATAAACTATGGACCATTAATAAAAAGATTATTGATCCTGTGTGTCCCAGGCATACTGCTGTTATAGAAGAACGACGTGTGTTATTTACCCTTGATAATGGTCCAGAGAAACCATTTGTCCGGGTTATACCAAAGCATAAAAAATATGAAGGTGCTGGTGAGAAATCTTCAACTTTCACAAAGAGGATATGGATCGACCAAGTGGATGCACAATGTATCAAGGTGGATGAAGAAATCACCTTAATGGACTGGGGTAATGCAATACTGAAAGGCATCGAGAAGGACGGAGATGGATTTGTCACACGGTTGTCAGGAATATTGCATCTCGAAGGCTCTGTGAAGACCACAAAGTTGAAGGCCACTTGGCTGCCTGATATAAACGAACTAGTCACCCTCTCACTTATGGAGTATGATTATTTAATCACAAAAAAGAAGGTATGGACCTTCAATATGTGGTATCATATGCACTTTTCTTTATGGTGGATGTGAGTCTATTTCTATGCTTTGATTGTGATATTATAGCCTCTTTCCTGTTGGTTTTGAATCAAAGTTCTAAACCATGCATGCTGCTGACATCAGTGTATTTGCATGGACACTTTTGTGTTTTTATTTCTGTCTTCTATTTTTAAAAGCCAGATAGCAATAAGCATCACTTAGGTAAGCCAGTTTGTCGAAGTATGGATAATGTTCAGTACTAATGTAAAATGGTTCGAATGTTCCGAAGGTTTATGAAATTAGATGTTAACTGAGCTGCCTTGCATGGGTTAGAAGTTGTTGGTGAACCTTTTCATACGATGAATGTGCTTATGACTGTAACAATTTGTGGGCTGCGGCTTTTTGTTGCTTATTTCATGTTAAGAAAGTGGGTTATAGAAATTATGGATTTTAGCCATCTTTTAAATTACTATTGCAGCTCGAAGAAGGAGAGGATTTTCTTGATGTATTAAATCCATGCACAAAAAAGGAGACCATTGCTGTTGGGGATTCAAACATGCGAAATATAAAGCGTGGAGACATATTGCAGTTGGAGAGGAAGGGGTATTTCAGATGCGATGTTCCATATGTCAGGCCATCGAAACCGATAGTCCTACTCGCAATCCCAGATGGCAGGCAACAATCATGTTCGAAGTAAAAAATCTCTCTAGCAATTGAACGGGGTTTATTGTGGAGTTTGCCCGGTCTAAAATTAATCGAGGATGTACTTTTATCGAAGTTTTTGCCATTACTTTCTTTTTTTCTTCTAAAAGATGTGTACCTATACCCTTGGGATATCATATAATTTAAATATTCTCTACGTTCTGGCATATCTTAGATGGTCATAGTTCCTTTGGGCAAATCATGTACAAACTATTGGCCTTGGGCAATTTCAAAATGCCTTGCAACGGGTTCTTTGTTTCTCGAGAGAATGTGTGCTTAGTTAGCTTAGGTGTTTGGGGCTTGGAGTAGAATGGAATACATATCAAACAAATAAGTGTTGTTTTTAAGATTAGTACAATGATGAATATGGAAGAAACATGCATGTGATGTTCGATATTGGTGTATGTATGTTGATGTTGGGGCAAATTATAGGTATGAATGAAGCGTTTGTTAGGTTTTGGGCGCCAAGCGAGACGTGATCTTGGTACCAACTTGGAAAGCCTTGGTGAGTACGTTAGCCAGCAATGAAGGAGTTGGTGCAAGTAGAGTGGCGGCAATAGACTGAGGTCCTGGTAATTGGCTGTTGAAAGCCGTAATCACTGCAGCAGCGTCCTTCCCATTTTTCAGTTTCTCTAAATTTGTGATCATTATTGCATCTACTTGTTATAATTTACTACGCATTTTTTAAGTAAGCACATGGATGACTAAGATTTAATAGTCCATTTGAAAGAGAATAATGTAATGAACCTGTTTTAGCACTACATGCACACCTATTTTAGCACTACATGCACTAGGCGTGGAAATTCATTTAGAAATAATTAGATCATCACATCTAAACGATGGTTGGCACTTCATGCACTATATGTGTGGCAATTCATTATTTAGAAATAATCACATCTAAACGATGGTTGGCACTACATGCATTATATGTGTGGAAATTTATTTAGAAATAATCACATGTAAACAATGTCATGGGTTTAAACGTTTGCTAAATTCGTTCTGGATAAAGAAAAATAAACATCAATAAAATAGTGAAAATTGAAATAACAACAATCTAAAAGAAATGCATATGCCCATTACAATTTTGAAAGAAAAGTACAACTATACTAGTTGTGTTTTCGTGGCGAGCATAGTGTTGTTGTCATCTGTATATGGGTGCTTGCCTTTTCCTAAAAAGAAGTAGCACATGACTTAAGTATTTAAAATGCTCCATAAGTAGTCCCACCGTTAAGGATGAGAAATGCAATCAGATGCAATCATGATAGAACCTATCATTTTGTAGAACATCATGACATTGGAATCTACTTTTCAATTCGGGTGAAATTGGATGTATAGTACTTTTCTACATATGGTCCACGCATGCTATCAAAAGCTATGAAGGGAAAGGAGTGCATAATGCATGGTGTCATGTATCTTAGTGTATGCATCCGTACTAATCATAACGGGGAAGTATCCCAATGTACGTGACATACAAAATGAATGAAGTATCCATAGCTTTAAATCATGACATATACCTATGATGCAATTCATACCTCCCTTCTTTAAATGACGTATACCTATGTTTGGTCGTGACATTTTAGAGGCATTATGCCCTCCATATTAAGAATTCATAAAGCCCAGAATTCGACCGATGAATTTATCAAGGTCGTTTTTGTTGATATCCATATCACCGTAGGGTCGGCGTGCTGCTTGCTTTGTCTCCAAGTGGAAGATGGTTAAGAATAATGGAGCCCAACATCAAAGTAAACTCCATTTTGTATTTTCTTGGCCCGTTGAAACCAAATTTGTTCACCAAGTTTCAAGAAGAAAAAATGAAGTTCAATTTATGTTCATATTAACGTTAAAATGGCTTTATTTTAATAGTATCAGAAGATATTAGTAGAATTAACATAAAAGAAGAAGATGGTGTGTTACATGGACATCCGTTAGTGGGAGGTTGAGTATGTGTAATGATATTCATGTGGCTGTGTGGGAGCGATTAATGCCGTATTGCCCTACCACCTTCCTCTTTCTTTCTAATGTTCTATCATCAATCATGGATCTTTCACGTGCCCACTAATAAACCCAATCATCTCATAAATACATACCTATTATTTCATCCTTTTTTAACGTTACCTCATAACTTAACCACACCCCCTAAATTCAAATTTAAATCTACCACCCAAAGTATTATTTTATCTTGCCATATTTCAGACTTCCAAATTTAGTTTTAGTTTTTGTAAGATTGGTGAGAAAGAATAACAAAACATTTCTGATAAGAGTATGAAAACTTCTTCCTAACAGACACGTTTTAAAATCGTGAGCGTAACTATAGTAGCTAAAATGAACCATGTCAGTTTTGTCCGACAATTAAGTTATAAAATCTGAGCTCCTTAATGGATGCTAACTTAAACAACAAAATGATGGGTTAGACATACCATTACATCAATGTAGGCTCCCAATATTTGGATCCACTTAAACTTCGTGTGGATTGTTTAGCTAGTAGAGCTTTGGTGGTAGGCTACTTGGACAAGTGATTGTCTACGTCAATTGTTTTCATTAATTCAAACACCTACACCCACCACAAATAAAACATTTTTCTCTTAAAAACATGTGAAATAAAACACACTTTCTTTTCTTTCTAATGTTACTATTTACTAGTTTTGTTAAATTTTAAAGAATAGTTTTAGAATAAGTATCTCCAGCTAGGAAAACAACAGGGAATAATATGATTCTCATTTTTTTTTTAAATTTAACAATCAATTTTTATTATTGGATATTTTATTTAATTCAAAATTGATTGACATCTTAAGTTGAGGCATAAATTTAGTCACAAGTCAATGTCGTATTTACTAAGGTGATTTGTCATTTGGTCGAACAACTTGTATAGAAAATACTCATACTAGTGTAACATGTTTAATATTTAAATTAGTGTTTAGATCAAAGTAGTATCAAGTTGAGCCGGAGATTATTGAATACCTCTATAGGTGAGAAAAGTTCCTTGTATTCATATTTTTCCGCCAACCTATTGTCATGATCGAGCCTAGTATGGTAACTAAAATTAAAGAGAGGAGTGACGCGTACTAGTCGCTTCCTTTATTCAATTATGCCCTCTCATATAATCTTCTCTAAAAGTCTTAACAAGGGGGTAGATGGTAGGTTATAAGATATTGAATCTTAGAAAATTTTATTTAATTTTTATCACGGGAAAGTTGAATTGTGATTTTGTATAATATTGGATGTTGGAAAAAGGAAGGGGGGTGGAAAGTCAAAGCACACATAATTATTGAAATTAAGCATGGTGATGAGTTTGAGGTGGTGGGATAAGAAGGCAAATGAAGAGAAAACGAAAGGAAAGAGAAAGGGCGTTGGATATATTGATTTGGGAGTGAAATTGTGTCGGTGGGGAGTTTGTGATGGGCAGAGACTCATAACGTTGGTTACTATTGGTTTGATGTTGCTACTGCACGAGTAGCCTCCGCACCCATCGCCATCATTCTTCCCCATTCCATTAAAAACAGTACTAAAGAAAAACAAAATTGTTAAGATCAGAGCATGTGAAAGTGGTTAATTGTAAAAGAATTGATTAAAATGTTGCTTTGTTGGGAAGAAAAAGATGTTTGATGCTTAGATCTCATCTACCTCCTCCTCTCTAATGTTTGTGGGCCATCTTTGTTTAAACCACTATTATTTTTCTTAATTAAAACCCAATCCAGACACCGGTCTCCCATCCCCCATTTGTTTTATGTTTAAATCATCATTAATATTTCATTAAATATATGTATGAACAACAATCAAGAAACAACAGAGTTGAATGGAGCAGCCTCATTAATTGTGTGCGCCGGACTTCACGCTTCTTATCATCTTTGTTTAAACCACTAATCCCTCTATTATTTTACTTAATTACATTTTTTTTTTACTTTCAATTTTCTACTCAATAAACAACTATAAAGGAGGCTTAAGCCATTCAATTATTCATAATAATTTCACCTTTTTTCAATATATTTTTAATTCAACAATAAAAGTAGTTGATGCTTTATTTATTGTTTTAAAAATTATATTGGAGTTGTTATTTTCCCATTTGCTGACTTAAATTCATTTCTTGATTTTAATGAAAGTCATTAAATATATGAGGCAAATTCAGAATTTTATTACTCATAGTTTTGAAATTTTAAAATGGTATAGAAAAGGGAATTTGTGATTTTGAGATAAATTTGGTAGCCTACCTGTGAGTATCACTTTTGACCCAATTTTTTTTTAATGTGCTACAAGGATTGAGATGTAGTTACCTAAATAAGTTCATAAAGATGTTTGAATATTTAATGATACTACACCTTCCTATCACACTTATTTAAACATTTGTCTGTTTATGGAATACTAATTTTCAATAATTCCTCACCATTACATTCATATTTAAAACATTTTTATAAGCTTTTTCTTCCAAATTCAAATTATAATCTAGAACAGTAAAAAAAACAAACACAATTTCTAAAAAAAAATTTGATTAAAGCAGGCAACCGGCAATAAATGAATGAAAAAGAAAAAGAGTTTATAAACAAAATAAAAAAAAAATTTAAAACTAAAAGCAAACAGTTATTATGGGGAGGTAAATGTAAGGCACCGACGTCAGAGATGAGGGAGGAGCGTGGGGTTTGTGCGGTGCCGCCTGGTATTGGTGCTTCGGATCCCACGGTCACAAATGGTTTGACACTGCTGCATAGCTTTTACCTGCTCGTGCCTGCTTAAAGTAAAGCCTTACCGTCCCTCCCTGTAAAGTGTAAGCTCAAAATCCTTTGCATGACAACCCCGGCAAACCTTCTTTCTCAATAATTCATCCTCTCATTTCCCAGCTTCACGCCTTTACAAACCCCCCCTTTGCCGCTCTTATACTAACACTCTACTCTGTTCCGCTTTTCCCATTTCTTCCCCCTTTTGCTTTATTCCCAGATTTCTATAACTGATTCACTTCTACACACTCCAGCCACATTGATTCATACTGTGTGAGGTAGGAGCAGAGCCATGTTCAAGCCTTCGCTCCTTCTGTTTCTCTTAGCACTGTCTTTTACCAAATGGGTTCACGCCTTAAACCCCTACAATCTCTCTGATTCTTCTCTCTTCGACTCTTATGAAACTTCCTTTGCTGCTACCCTTACTCCTCTCATGGTTGGACTCACTCTCATTCAAGGAGCAGATACAAAACAAGCAGGTCCCCTTTTTTATTTCCTGCATTTTCTTTTCTCTGTCTATTGTTGGAGCCTCTTTTTGGGTGCTGATCTGAATCTTCCATCACTTTTTTACTTTTCTTCTTACCCACCTTAGATTTGTTGATGTGAACTTTTGTGTTTGTCTTTGTTTTTCTTTCTTTACCTTGTGCAGTCTGTTTGGATGGCACTTTGCCAGGATATCACCTGCATC